CAGTTTCAAGAAGATATCTGTTTTTCCGTTCCGCTATTCCGTTTTGAGATGGAGTATCAACACATGAAGTTTGATGAAGAATGCCATTCTGGGTCATGTAATTTTGAAAAGAAACTGACAGATATTCTTTTGCATTATCACTGCCCAATGTATGAACAGAAACATTGAATTGAGTTTTAATTTCAGTACAAAAAGCACAAAAATAAGAAAACAAATCAGAACGATTTTTCATTAAGAATAACCAAGTCATACGAGAGTAATCGTCCACAAATGTAACAAAATATCTAAAACCAGTTTTAGACAGAACTGGACAGGGACCCCAAACATCAGAGTGAACTAACTCAAAGGGAGAATTAGCTCTTTTATTGACTCTAGGACTAAAACTGACATGATGATGTTTAGCAAACTGACATGACTCACACTCTAATGTAGACACTTTATTAAACTGAGGACACAATCTCTTCAATGAAGGAAGAGATGGATGGCCCAAACGACAATGTGCTTGAAACGGGGATGCAACACTAGAACAAGCGACAGGTGTAGATTTTGGTCTGTCGAGAATGTATAAACCTCCAGATTCATGTCCTTTACCAATAATCTTCTTCGTCGTAAGATCCTGAAACAAGCAATAATCGGGAAAGAATAAAACACAACAGTTAAGAGCACGAGTAAGTTGGCTAACAGAAATCAAATTGAAAGAAAAATCTGGTAAATGTAAGACATTTGACAAGGGAAGCTGTGGAGTAGGGGTAACTGTGCCAGACCCAAGAACGTAGGATGGTGACCCATCTGCTAAAGTCACATTCGAAAGGGTTTTTGATTGATAAGTAGCAAAGAGACTGGGATTACCTGACATGTGATCTGTTGCACCAGAGTCAATGACGAATTTGGAGGATGAGGAAAGGAGACATGTATTTGGCTTACCTGAGTCAGCCATAGCCGTGACAGGAGTAGGTGAAGCCTTTAATGATTCCTGGTACAATGAAAACTTGGCAAATTCATCTGCAGAGATAAGAACTGACTGATCCGAAGTATCATTGGTGGATGCAACATGGGCAGAGGGATTTCTTCTATTTCTGTTCTGAAGCTTTCTACAATCACGCTTCATGTGTCCTGGCTTATGGCAATAGTGACACACAATTCCTCCCATATTACTATTTGACCCTCCTCCTTTGTTGCCACTTCCAAATTGTGATCGCCCAGATTCATAGTCATTCTTTTGACTGACGAGAGCACTACTAAACTGAACCGGTGGGGTACCTTCTGTGCGAAGTACCCTACTAAAGACATCCTGCAATGAAGAGATCTCTGGACTGGCTAGAACATGAGATTTAGCAGTCTCAAATTCAGAAGGAAGACCTGCAAGAAAACTCATGACTGCCATTTGCTCCCGTTGTTTTTGTTGAACTTTGACATCAGCACTGAAGGGTAACAACATGTTCAACACTTCATAAGTCTTCTTAAACTCCATAAAATAAGCTGTAAGAGACTTATCTTGTTTCTCTGCACGGTAGAATGCCTTACACACTTCATAAATATGAGAAACATTCCCTTTTCCAAAATACAGAAACTCCAAATAATTCATCAGTTCTTTAATAAACTCACAATGATTAATTAGGTCAAGTACCTCACCGTCAATAGAGTTCCGTATTTGTAGAATCAACCGAGCATCATCCCAGAGCCATGTCTTTTTCGAATCATCCTCAATTGGATCATCAGTCATATGATCATCTTTATCAATACTCCGCAAATACCAATGAGCTTATGTTCTGTAATTTTCGACATCGTCGGTATCATTTCCATCACTGGCTTTGTATCAGACATGTCTTAAACAGATGATAATCCCAATGCACACCAACAAACGGTTAAAACAAAGCAAACTAACTAAATTTCAGTGACACACCAAATCAATCAACAGTCACCACCAACCAGAGGCCACAGCAAGCAAAAAACCAATAACCAAATGAAAACAAAGTGCCAAAAGATCACAACTAAGTCCTCAAAAATATCCAAACCAAGAATAGCAGTGAACCAGTAAAAGATTACCCAATCCAGCACGAAAATGTGCTGTACAAGTACCGACGAAGCAGACGAAGAGAATCGGAGGAGAAGTCAGCTATGCATGCGCCGACGCGTGTTACTGTTCACTAGAGTTTCGGGTGGCGCGTACAGCTCACACGCGGTGATTCTGATGGCCGGAACTCAGGGTTTTGCCGATTGACGGCTTTTGAATCTCCCTTGGGTGGCGGTGTTGAACAAATCTTAACCTAAACAGGTTTTCCCAATTTGAAACCCAAACCCTAATTTCCCAATTTTGAGACCCAAACCCTAATTATCTTTTAAGGCTTTGATACCATGTAAATAAACATAATGAATATTCACTCTTCTCATTCATAGCTTAAAAGCATACATATTTATATACACTTGTAGTTTTCTAAACTAGGTAGGTGATCAATCTAAATTAGGATAGAAGTGATCCCTATAGTCAAGGATTTTAATGTGATCCCTATAATCTAGGAAGTCATATACATCTGTAACACTTATCAAGGCTCAAAACCGCATGAAGACGTATGCTGATTGTCGTCGTCGAGAGGTGACATTTGAGATAGGAGAATCCGTATATTTGAAGTTACAACCATACAGATTACGATCCTTAGCCCGTCGCTATAATGAGAAGCTGAGCCCACGATTTTACTGTCCCTTTGTGATCACGGACAGAATTGGAGCAGTGGCATACAGGCTAGCACTACCTTCTTCAGCTCGTATTCACAACGTTTTCCATGTTTCGTAACTGAAGAAAGCAACGTTCCCAATCCCCAATAGCCAGCCTCTACTGGTAGCCCTTAACGAGGATTTAATGTTACAACTCGAACCTGAAGCAGTCCTCAAGAAAAGGAAACTTCTGAATGGAGAGTGGGAGGTGCTGATTCAATGGAAAGGCTTACCTTCCTATGAAAACACATGGGAGGATTTTGACATTATTCACCACCAATTCCCTTCTTTCCACCTTGAGGACAAGGTGGTTCTCCTTGGGGAGGGTAATGATGAACAACTAAAAGGGCTGATGTACAGCAAGAAGGGTAGTGGTAAGAAGTAGAGGAATATTGTTGAATATTTGTTATGTAGGAAGTTGGGATTTGCTAGGGAGGACAGATGGCATGATAGGATAGGATGTAAGTGGAATTCGGTTAGAGCAAAAAGGTGACAGGAGAGAATAAAAAGAGGAGGAGAGAAAAAGGATGACTCCTTCAGAATTAAAAGAGTGAATTGGAAGGGAGGCAGTTGACCCTCGAAGTCAGTATTTGGGAAGTGGCTGACCCTCGAAGTCAGTATTTCGTTATCGTTTTCTTGATGTACTTTGCATTACTTTCTCAATGTTAGTTGCTTACTGAGTACTGATAGGATATGACTACTGGATATATCTTCTATGGATGTATTGTTCTGCTGGGATTAATATAACAGGATCTTCTTTACTAAATTGTAATTGTTGATTGTGAGTTGTGGACAGATTGTTGGTAGTATTGGTTGATTTGCAGGTCAGGTCCTATCACACACACATTCAACAGCTCTAGACATGTTTATATGTTTACGATATGATCATTTTTTCAAACACTTGGCTGACTATGGTTGTTTAGTGAACTTTTCAGACTATGATTAGGTTTTTTTATGCTTTGTTTGTTGAGTTGTTAAATCTCGTATAATCTCCCTTTATCATTATTAGAATTCATATTGAACTTGTTTGTAGACACAGAAATTGATTTCTATTGAGCATCTTTCAAAGCAGTATGTGTCAGCAAGGAGTAAGCCAGTGACAAGATTCTCTGATTCACTTTTAGTTTGATTAGCATGGTAAATGCTTTTTGGTTATTAATGTGCCAATTTTATCTTACTAGTTACACAAGGTTTTTACTTCTCTTGCAGGATCCTGCCATTGCAGAAGGCTGTCGAAGAAAAAGCTCAAGCAATACGTGCTGCGGCTGCCTCTAGTTTCAAGTCTATGCTTAATGAAAAAGGGGATGTAACTGTCAGTTCCCGCTGGTCCAAGGTTGGTTGATGTATGAGCATTAGGATAAAAAATACGAGAGACAAGGAAATAGTGAGACTAGGAGGAAATAAAGGGCAATAAATTAGAAGAACAAGAAAGATGACATAACTAGAGGAATTAGGAAGAGAAACAAATAAAATCAGGGAAGAAACTAATATTTCAACAAGTATTTTATTAACTGAAAACTAAGACCCCGTTTATATAGTACCAGTTCTAAATAGAAATTTGTTTGGAAATATGCTACCTAAAATCTTTCTTAGACAAGAAGCAATCTTCTGACTAAGATATTTATATTCCTTGTATAAATCAGTTCCTAAAATTTTAAGATCCTACATTTTCCATCATTGGAGCTATTGCATATGAAGTTGTTTTATTTGTTTATTTATTTATGTTTAAATTATTACTTCTTTTAGTGTGTCACTTGGAATGTTCTTAAACATAAGGCATCAAGACTGTTTTAGACTTTTAGTAATCAACTCCAAGGGTTTTTATGATGGATACAACTAGGTTTTATTCCCTAGAAGATAGTTTACCTAATTAAATCTCTAACACTAGAGCGGATGGTCTAAGAATCAATTCCTCTTGCACCAACCTTTGGGAAAGTTTGTTATTTAATGTGATTAATTGAGGTAGAAGCTAGCATTGGATGAAGGAATGGGTCTTTAAGGGTTAATATTTTAGCTCTAAGTGGTGGAAATAGAGTTGTACAAGAAAACCTAGATTTATGTGTATACTTTAGGTTGGCAAATATGATCACGGTATCTTTTGGGATATATTTCTTGGTTATGAGGTGGTGGATGAAAGGTGGTGCTTGTTAGGATTCCACATTGAGAGGGAAATGATGGGCATGTGGGTTATAAAGGGTTTGGGCATCCTCTCTTAGCAAGCAAGGAGAATTCTACCCAAACCCATGAAAGACCCATAACCCAACCCAATTGTTGAGTTATTGGAGTGGGTTCTTATCAGGTTATATTTTTAATAAGATGGTTTATCAAGAAATTGCAATAACAACTATTTGATGATATTCTCTTACCAACTGTTTCAAAGGGGACAGTAATAATTTTTACATTCTGGCACAATGAGATCTAATAAGGATGTGTCATTGCAGATAATGGGAGTTTTCCCTCAGAATATTCATCTGCCATGCCCAAAGAAAGAACAGATAATGGCCCCGTCCAGGTTGTAGGTGCTACCAGTGACAAAGATCTCTCAGCTTAGGGGTAAGACAGGCTCTATATCCGCAAAGTTCGAGTGAATCTATGTTAAATGTTCACACTATTCATTATTTTGTGTCATAATTAGTTTTGTAGTTTTCCCCTCTTATCCATTTCTTTAGTTTCTCCCAATAACATTCAAATTTTAAGGAGCTTTTGATGTGATGCTCTATCATGAAAATTGGTTTCCTTTGATACTGCTTTTATACTGTCTTCTAGAGAACTATGTTTAAGAATGTTAACTTGCATCATTTAAATTGTTTAGCTAGATACTCGGTATGCATAAAATTCCAATGATGAGCAATTCAATATCTCAGCATAAAAATATTTGTTTCCAAGTTTCATTTTCTGACAATGCAAACAGAGCCTTTTGAGAAAATATTTCAGCTTGAGGATGCAGAATTAATTTATGGACAGGTTGCAGGGTTCTCGTCGAGAAGTACTAAGATATGGAAGTTTGGGAGTTGCTATATCTTGTCTCATATTCATAGTTTCAAACTGGAAGGTATAGCAAACTTGATCATATGAATGTTTTGAGTTTCTGTTAGATTTATGTTGAAATATCAGCACAGTTTTCATTGAGTAACTGGAATATCTGAAAACTAATTTACTTGTCATTTTAGTAAATATAAAACTAATGTGCTTTCACAGGCAATGCAATATGCATCTCCTAAAGCTATCTGGAATGAATTATTTGGAGTCAACTGGCCATTATTTGAACCAAATGACGGTATTGCCATGTTCCTTATGGTTTTGATTGTATTGTGTATAAATAGATAATGCAATTTAACATAATATAGGATGTTAATCTACTTCCTTTGAATCATTGAAGGAGACTCATCACGATCAGCACGAGTCCAACAATTTGTGAACTATATTTCTGATGTTGAAAATAGGTAAAAAGACTAGCTTTTACCTTATATAATAAGTTATATTAAATTTCTCTTTAATTTGTTAAGCCATTTTACAAATAATTTTTTTTTTTTTTTTGTGAGTGTCTTGATGCTTAATCTGTTTAAAATGTTATTTTCTTTGTTGATTTAGGAAAGGTACTCCCATTGTATCGGAATTTCCAACGAAACTTGATTGGTTGAATACAACTCCCCTTCAGTTTCGTAGGGTAAATGATTTAACTTAAATTCATAGAATTTCATTATCCTTCCAAAGAATTATAACTGATTTTATAGGCTGTCAAACATATGACTTCTTCCCCTTAAATTTGCTTAGAGCCAAAGTGGTTGCATCTGATTCAAACTATGTATCCTAATATGACAATGAGATTTATGTGAGGACAATGATTCTTTTGCATATCTAATTGAGTCAGATACATAAAATTTGCTTGTTTTTATAGCTACTTCAACTTTTGTGCAGAGTTTGAAAGGAAAAATGGTCGTGATCAATTTTTGGACTTACTGTTGTATAAATTGTATGCATGTGCTGCCAGATTTGGAATTTCTGGAGAAGAAACACGTAGACAAGACAGTAAAATTCTCTTCATTTATTATATCTGAATCTCTCAACTGTTTGAAGTTTCTCCTTTTTTAGGTTATACTTTTGGTGAATTGTTTAGATAGTTTTGTGGGTTAACATTATGTAACAGGTTAGAGAATGGTAATATAACCAATATAACCATGAAAGATGACATTGCAAGATTGATTGACTTGGGTGGAGGGGAATACGTGGAAAGTTTTCGCTATGAAAAATCATTTATACTATTTTTCTGACTATTTCCATCAGTGTTTGGTTTTCCACAAAAAATATGATTATCAAGACTAAGAAAAAATGCCAAGTTTGTTAAGCATCCTGTCTAAAATTTAATAAATTAAGCTCCCATGTACTGTAAGGTAATTTACTTGATATGCCTAGCCTATTTTCATCTAAAAGCATATCAATTACTTGGGAAGCCTATTTTTATGTTAGTATGATTTAAACTCTTTCATTCATATTGTTTTTTATTTTAATTGGTGTTGGGAGCATGCAAGGATTATGTGTATAGTTTATGGATATTTATTTATCTTATCAATGTTTATAAAAAAGATTAATCATGTATTCTGAAACCTGTTGGCTCGAATGTCCTTACTTTTTTAGGTTGAATGGACTCAACTTACCAAGATTTTCCAAATTTTGGTTTTATTATTTGGACTGTGTTATGAGGATTGAAATGATCAAACGCATCATTTGTTCATTATTCAAGTGACAAAAAAGCAACAAACACATTAGAAACTTAATTGCAAATTATTTGCGTAAAAAAGACTACAAGTGTTAAGGAGCCTGACATATCAAGCTTTGAGTACTACAATATGTTGAAAATTCAGATATGTGGATTCAGCTAATAACCACTCAAGTAACCATACAAAACTAGTGTGTAAAAGGGTAGAGAAAACAGAGCACCCTATTTCTATCTCTTAGTATTGTATTTGTATGCTAAAGTTTCATCCACTCATTTGATCAATTCTATAAAATCAATAACCATGAATCAATTATTCAGAATATCGATAAAACTAATTCATTATATTTCATATAGTTTTAGTTATACCTAATTCATAAGCTCCAAAAGTTTTAACTGAACTTCTCCTTCAACTCCAAATCTAGTAGTAGCCGATCACCTACCTCATCTTCAAATTCAAAGGCATTCCCTTTACCAAAATGGAAAACATCACCAACCAGTCATAAAATTATCAAAAGAAAATAAGCAGAGAGCTCAGTTTCAGTTTTTTGTCTTCAAAATTGAGCACTTTACAATCTTTATAAGCATCAGCAGTAGAGTTATCACTACTTCAAAAAGCCTCAAAAGTTATCCAAGCACTATATTATCAATTGTAGGGGAGACGTCCAAGTGTTTATAAACTCAATTAATAGGAATTAATTTAGTCAATTGCATCATTGCAACCTGAATTTTCAGTAAATCATAAAATTTCTCGAACAATAATTGCTAACAAATTCAGTAAACCAGAACAATAAAACAAACCATAAATTTAATTACCAGTTCCATATTATGCTAAAAAAACAAAGCATGAATAATTTTCCAGAGAAAGAACAAGATTTTCCTAATATTAATAATTGACAATAGATAAACTATCATTAGGAGGCTCCAGCAGCCAAAAAGCACAATCAAGAAGAGGAATAAGCAACTACCTCTTAAATAGCAATATGTGTTGGCATTTGGTTCCACTTCCCCCTCTTTAGATGTTCCATTTTCAATTCCACTTTCACTTCCACAAGTGTTTTCGCGACTCGGGTTCGATCCCCGGCAATGGCGCCAAAAACTTGACAGATACAAAGTTTAATTTTTCGCAAGTGCACAAGTCGCAATCACAACATAGTGTACGAGTAAGGGTCGATCCCATAGAGATCGGAAGTACTCTTGTGATCTTAGTAACTATGCCTTGTGAAAATAACTAAAATGAAATAAGAAAACACATAAACAATATTAAAACGAATCTAAATCTAACAATCTACAAAGAATCCTAGGGTTCTAACTCTAACATAGTTATCAGGCTACGTGTTCATTATCAAACTATTGTTCTCTCCACTCTATTCTAGAATTCTTACATCTTCGGGTTTAACCTAGTACTTTTCATCATCTAAATTAGCTAGTGGCGTATATCCTAGGCTAAACAACGAAGGAACCAATTTTCATAGACACAAATTATCCATTCACATAGCTAATCAAGATAGGCACGATGTCGCTTGTTCTAAGGTATTACCGTATTACGTTCGGGATTAACCTAGTATTTTTTTCAATTAAACTAGCTAGTGGCGTATAGCCTAGTCTAATTACAAAAACCCATTAAGCACAAGACAATCTTAAAGACAACAACCAAACTATGTCCGGGCAGGGCTACAAATCAGTCATTCCATACCCAATCTTGTCTCATACAATTAATTAACTAACATCAAAGTTGATCAGGCCTTAACATTAACTAAAGATTGAATTAAACGCAATGAATGAATCTAGAACATAATAGAATGGATTAAACAAATAGAATAACAATAAAACACAAGCCTTCAATTAGATTACATCAAATCCCTAGAAAACAAAATTCAACATAAAGGAAAAGAAAGAATTACACTTGAAACCATAATCGTGAAGAACAAAGGAGTAGGAGAGGAAGAGAACCTCCTCTCCTCTCCAAGCTCCACCTTTCTAAGAAGCCCCAAATGTAGTTCAATCCCTAAAATATGTATAGTCTAATGGCTCTCTCCAATACGAACTAAAGTTGCCTTTTATAGTAATTACATGTGATAACGTTTTTGTAAATACTAGCAAACAAAATTAGGGTTGGAAGTGCGAATATTTTGCAAAATTCGCGATTTGCACCCCGACGTGGTTGAATAGGCTGCGATGCGCTTCTAGGCGATTTCTTTTTCGTCACCAACCAGATCCACATCAGCAACATAGTTAAATGGAATTGAGGCGCTGTTTGGATTTTACCGATTTGTGCTATGGCGTTGAATGTCTTCGCTACGGCACAACTTAGATTGCATCGTTTTCACGCCGCGGCGCAGGAAATCATGCTATGGCGCAACTTGAAATTTCACTCTTTTTTTTCTCGCCTTGATTTATCCACACTCGAATGGGTCCAGGATGTCCGAACACCAAACACTAGCACGAATAATTCATCTTTTTATACCTGAATACTTGAAAACACAACAAAACCTGTGATTTTGGAAGATAACGAAACATGCAAGGAATCTCATAAAAAATCATGCACTAAACCTTAAATTCCTTATAGTTTCACCCCCAAATCACTATATAAATCCACATTTCCAACACTCATCAATGTCACAACCCCAAACTCTTAGATGAGATAAAACGGGTTTTCGCCCATTCCATATTTCATATGGAGTCTTATCTACTGATTTAGACGATACACGATTCAGTGTATAAGTCACAGCTTCTAGCATAACCCCGAATGATGTGGGTAGATCTGTAAAACTCATCATGGATTGGACCATATCTAACAAGTTACGGTTTCTCCTCTTAGACACTCCATTGTGTTGAGGTGTATAAGAAGGAATGAGTTGAGACACGTTCCTTTAGGTATGTATCGAACTCTAACCTCAAGTATTTCCCTCCCTTATCGGATCGGAGAACCTTGATATTCTTGCCTAATTGATTTTTTACTTCATTCTTGAATTCCTTAAACTTGTCAAAAGATTCAAATGTAAGTCTTATTAAATAGACATAATCAAATCTACTGAAATCATCAGTAAAAGCGATAAAGTATGAATAACCACCTTTGGCTGTATTGTTAGAGGTCCACATACATCACTATGGATGATGCCTAATAACTCTATTGCGCTTTCACTGTGTCTAGTGAAATGTGACTTGGTCATTTTGCCTACTAGGTATGACTTGCATACCTCATAAAACTTGAAGTCGAATGGGTCCAAAACTCCATCTTTATGAAGTTTTGCAATGCGAGTCTAGTTCACATGACCAAGCCTACAATGCCAAAGATATGTTTGATTAAAGCCATCAATTTTGGCTTTCTTATTCGCAAGATTGAAAATTTCGTTATTATTTAAATCTATAACATACAAACCATTATGTAATCTAGCAGTTCCATAATGAATACCATTTAAACTAATAGACAATGATCCTTTAGTTTTTAAAAATTGATATCCAATGTTGCCCAAAGTGAACACAAAAATAATATTCTTTGAAACTGAAGGAACATAAAAACAATTAGTAAGTTCCAAAATAAGTCCTGAAGGTAAAGATAAATAATAATTTCCTACAGCTAATGCAACAACTCGCGCTCCATTTCCAACTCGTTGGTTTACCTTTCCTCGACTGAGCAATCTACTTTGCTGCAATCCGTGCACAGAAGTGCAAATATGAGAACCACATCCAGTGTCAATGACCCAAGATGTAA